TTTTATAAGAATAAAGTACATTTCGTGGATACACTTTCACGAAGAACCTATTTCTGGGATACCGCAGTCCCATGTGGATCAGAAAACAGCCACAATGTAGTACAACTAAACCCTGATGAAAATAAATATTATCTTCTCACTCCATATCCCACATTAATGCAATCACTCAAAAAATTTTCACCAGAAAGCATTCGCGCTATTGCTCGAAACCCAAATATAGACTTACAATCAATAGGAATCTATTCAAAATCAGATATTCAACATCACATTAGAACACAACAATTCCAAGAATTATTAACACAAATGGACACTATACAAAGACAATCAATAGACCAAAATTTACGCAAACTTGCAGAAACCGCAGGATTTGCCGATATCTACACGCAAGACTATAGCGGATATTTTAAAGACATTAAAGATTATATATATCTAAACGGCGAAAAATACCGTCCCCAAGATATATCACCAATTAACATTTTTAGCTTTGTTACACTCAAGAATGAAATCCTTGATTTTCTAGGATGGCCCTACTACATCTTAGAAAAATTGACTATTTTATACGCAATGTTTAACTTTATTGGATTTCTTTTCTCACTCTTAAAAGGAATCTACAATACATGTGCTATACACACACAAGTAAACAGACAAGCAAGCGTAGCACGCATACTCTTTGCAGGATTTTTTGGAATTTTTTCGACATCTATAAACAAAATTCTTTTAGACGCACAAATAAAAGAATATAACACAAAAATAACAACACGACAAAATACATACGACGAAGAACATAACAATGTCGACACACAGCCAACGGCACCACAATTACCACCCCTACCAAATAACCATCCACTATCCCTAGTCCCACGAAATTTTCGAAATTTAGCCATCACACATAATCCAAATTTTAGACTCACCACATCGCAAAGTCCCATCCAACATATAATAACACATCAATCACAAGATGATAATACTTATGAACAAATTATTGAACAACCCCATACCACCGCTTTTCAATCTCAAAATAATAATTTTTTTAGCCCACGATGAGCCGCCAACTTGGATCACTCCATCGATCAAATTCCCATCCAACCAACCTTCCTTCTTCAATCCCAATAATACCACTTTTTGCTTTTCCGCCACCCGATTTTCCACCTAGCAATGTAACATCAGGCATGAATTCCGACACTAACTCACAAATTTCAGTTTTATACTCCATTTCACAGCTAAATAATCCGAATATTGAAACCCCCGATGAATTTGCCGACTCAGAACCATCTCCATCCAATAATTTACATAACCCCTCTCATTTTTCTCAACCTCCTTTTCAACCCATATTGTCAAATAACCCTGACCCAATCACTCCCACACCCTCTTATGCTTCCCAAGTTACCCCAACCTATTCCTCATACCATTCTGACCAATCATCTCCAGACACCCCCCGAATCTCCCCAGAGCTAGACAATTTTATTACCCTCCAACAACAACCCTATCACCTTAACACCCCGACCATAAACCAAATCTCCTCCACTACAAATTCATCCAATCCCCCTACACCCTCTTCAAATTATACTGAATCATTAGCACCATCATCCACATCAACTGAATCCTCACTCAACACTAATAGAGCTTACCGCACTTTTAAAAGAAAGTTCCCCAACCATCCTTTCCCAGCAAAACCAGGAACAGCCCGTGAATACATCAACCACCCCCAGCATACTAACACCAAAGAATTTTTAGCTATCACTTTACCCTCATTTCCACAATACACCTTAAACACCCCTCATGACGCTAACGAAACACGCAACTTTGTAGACGAATACGTTTTAATGCCCACTCTCTCTTGGACCTCATACTATCATTTCACTAACCCTCTTTGCTTACCTTTAACCAACACTTCCATCGATACAGACCGAAACAAAGATATGCTATATCGACTAACTACACCACTCACCGCTAGACAGTTTACTTACGTAGGATATAAAAAATCACTAAAAATACACACTGCACCTAGAGCTAATGAATATACACTAGAATACTACGATCACAACATCATCAGAGCTAACCAAGATCAATTCTTAGACGACGATCGCTTCGCTAATCCACAAATCACCGAGAAATTTTTCATCAAGACACCATATGTATTTACACTAAACATTTTCGACCGAAAGTTTGATCACATTATTTCAGAAGCACTAACAAACACACAAGCATACGAAAGTTTTAAAGAACGCTTCCAAATCTTTTCACTAACCTTTCATTTCCTTGCACCACACGAAAGAGATTTACACTGCTCACACGATATTATGTTGCGCACTAAACAAACACATACATATAGTTATTATCGCTTCATCCAAAATCACTTTGACCTCCACACACCATCTAGACAACCACACCATCGTTTCCAATTCATCAACTCAAAATACACTTCACCGTATTTCCTAAATTTCACATATTGTATTAAAGACACTAACCTCCATGGTATTCTTCGTAATTATGACCCCATAACCCAAATGTACATTTTCTGCCCCATCACCAAGACCTTCAACGCCGAAGAATCCCGACCCTTCCTTATCCCGCACGAGTTTGTACAGCCTATAGAAATCCCAATTTTAGAATTCATCCACAACACTAAATTTAACCACAAAATATATAACTTAATCCAAAACACACCTTATGAGTTTGCAGTAGGCACTGAAGAACTAACCACTATTAAGGCACTTCAATTGCTTTGGCCACTGCTTCAAACTAAAAATATCATCCGCATTCTAGCTAAACTACTCACAACTTCAGAACTAATTCACGACATCTTCCCCCACGGTTTTTTCCCCGACGACTAACAGGTAAGTATGAATTAAGTAAATATTACTAACTAATTACAGTATAAAAAACTCACCATTCTTTATTCATGTTTTCTTTAGATTTTTAGCCTTCATCCTAGATCATCTGAAAAATTCACAAAAGAAAAATAAAAAATAGCAAACTTCTTCAAAACTGTTAAAGACCCTATTAAACTTTTGCACCAACAATTAAATAAATATAATACCAATGCAGTAAATTAATTTATAAAATTTTCCCCCAAAAGCAGTAAATCTACATATGATGAAAATTTGTATCTTAAAATTCCCCCATAACTAGCAGTAAATTTCCAAATTCTATGCAGTAAATTAATAAAATGCAATTGCAGTACTAACCTTTTGATATTTTCATTCATTCGCACAGAAATTCTATCCACACTCGCACAGCTCGCCCACGAAGAATTGTTTAAAATAATGAATTTCAGTTTCAAGTTTTCACACTTAACAACTCTAACATATAATAACATGTTTCAAACTTTCCTTTAACCCGGTTGGAAAGGAATCATATACTAAACAAAACTAACCAACGCAGCTTACTAAATACCATAAATCATAGAATAACAGCATGACTAAGAAAAGGAAACCAACGGTACCCAAACCGGATTAACCCAGTTTAAAACTGGATAATTTATTCTTTTGAAGACTATTACAAAGTCTTAGAAAGAAATAATAAAACACAAAAAAGTCGAAAGACAAACCCATACCACAAACAATTTGCTTTTTAGAAAAAGTACATAACCAACAAGACATAAGTAAAACCACAACAAACCCAACATAAAACGTTGTCACATAACAGGACCCCTCACAAACACCGCATGAAATTATACTCCCACACCTGGCCTAACCCACCAGGAAAGGACGTCCTGAGCATGCTCTATAGCCGGCCTAACCCACCGCGCTACATCCACGCTTTGTGACCACACCTTTATTTTTAATAAGAGCTACTCAAGGGTGAGTAACTCTTCAAAATAACCGAACTAAAACAAAAAGCTTTTGTGAAAACAACTAACTAAAATCACAATTAAAAAATACTAAACTAATAAAAGTTTTATAAAATGTAAAATCACATGATGCAATATATAGATCAGAATACAACACCAAGGACGAACATCAAAAGACAAGACGACCTCACTACACTCGAGAGAGAATGACCAACTACAATCGATATGCCGCTCACAATCACAACTCAAAGGATTTAGAGTACGACTTGACTTCGCAGAAAAGGACTTCATTGAACTAGACCAATGACCACCTCGATGTTCAAGTATACGTACAGATCCGAGTAACCAGGCATCCCCTCCACGCACAATCTCCACGCCATTCCCAAGCTAGATCAAACACAAAAGAAGTTCTCTCCGAAGAACAGAAAAACCTGACATAGCCAACCATTCTGAAATCAGAATTGATGCTGTTGCAGAGACTCAGTCGATGTCACAAGAAGAAGCGGAAGAAAATTATGATGTTCGCCAAATACCAACGTCCATCATCCATCCTTGAACTACAGAAGAACTGTTCTAAAAAACTCTGTAAAACCCGGATGGGTGGAACCTGATCTAAACTACATTTTATGATTGGATAAATTAAATGTTTTACCAATGTAAAGTATTTAATATTAACCAATCATGATCCATCTAACTAACAACCCACTTATTTGTAAGTGCTGAAGTTACTTGTAATTTCAGCACCAGAGAGATTTGAATTTAACTTAGAAATTAGTTGGACTCTCCCGAGCACTTCAGCAGCCGCAATAAACCAGTATACCCTAGATCTATTGAGCCTAGCAGAGACTAGTTAAACAACCTGAGACTAGATAGTATAAGAGTAAGATTAGGATCGGTATTAGACTAAGAAGTTGCACGAATCTATCCGGCCGAAAATAAGATAGCGTGACGAGCAGACGGTGTACCCTATCCGAAATTACTCTATGAGTTACACTTCGGTCCTAACTCAGTTTAGAAAAATTCAGTCCTGAGATGGTATTGAAAATAATTGGCTAATTCTAGCCAATCAGATTGAAGCAAAAAAGTTTCACTTTAAGATGTTGAAACATTGATTTTTGGGCGGACTAAGTAAAAGGTCCCCACCTGTTTCAATGTGTTGATGGGACCCAAGTGTCATATTTGTACTTGTGTCTATGTCCACTACTAGTCTACTCTGGACTGCAGTACGAAGTGTGGGTGACGGCAGTGGTCCATAGTGTAGTTGAGAGGGGCAAAATATACCAGGCACAGAGCAACCACACTCTCTTCACTGTGCCTCTACACGCAGGTAAGTTATAATTAATTATAATAACTACTTATAATTAACTCATTATTTAAGTTTCTATTTCAATTAGCCAAAATATTCCTGCTGCGGGAAAACCTTTGCCTCAGTTGAACTCAACCTTTGGTGCTTTAGTAGAACTCAGAAAACGTATTCGGCTGATGGTAAAAACATTCAAGAAAGTCCACCCCTGTTTTGCCTTATCCTATTTAATGGGATGTTTTAATATCGATTGTTTAAAAAAAATCAGTTCGTTATCTGAGTTTTGCATGAAAAAATTATCAGTTCTGCTGCTCAAGCAAATCAAGTTCTGTTGTGAATAGATTGCTTATACAAATGATTCAGTTTTTCCACAAATAAATCATTTCTCCCCACAATGTTCCTCTATTTTTTCTTCCTTTAGGCCTTCCCCCTAGTCAGATGGAACGTGCGGTCAACCCCACAGCAGAGACATTCCTCTCCTACGCCCCTGTGCTCGCAGCCTCCCTCGGGGCATTCCTAGCTGTGGTACTCGCTGTCATTGGGTTCCTTCTTGGCAGGTAAAAACAACTCCTGAAAATGTCTTCTAATGTTTTCATACTAAACAGTGGCGTGCTCAGAAATTTTTCTAGGGGGGCGGTTTTTCCTAAAAAAAATTTAGAATTTTCATGGCCTTTTTTTAGATCGACCAATTTGATGTTCCAAGTTCTCCGAAAATACTATAAAGACCCTGTTTTGTTAGAAATTATGCGCACTGCAGGCAAATTTTTCAAAAATGGGCACCTTTTGGGCACTTTTTGAAAAATCTTGACCAAAAAATCCCCTTTTTTCGGCGCCCCCTCCCCTCAAAATTAGTGATATTGCCGCCAAAGGCGCCTTGAGAAATTTTTGAGGTTCGTCAGCCAAAAAAAGGGACCTAAAGGGAACCCTTTGGAAAATTTTGGCAACAAGATTTGAGGGTAGGGGGTACCCTCAAATCTTGTTGCCAAATTTTTTACCACCTCGGCACGCTACTGATATTAAATATCTTACTAAAATGTCTTCTAATTTCAAAAAAAGACGTTTTAATTTTATAAAATGTCTTCTAATTAGAAAAAATGATTTCCATAAAATGTCTTTAAATATTTTCATAGCGTGACATCTCAACAATAACACCGGAAACAACTCAAACTTCAAACTGTGGTCGTTATGACCGGCTTCATTAAAAACATTCAATTTAAAACCGTTCAGCAACTATATTAATAGTGTTGCGCGTGTATAATTTGCGTCAATGCGACCTAACTCGTCAGAAAAAAACCGCTCACTGAAAAACAAATGGCCAAAAATGGCTGATCTATTAAACCAAAGGGATGATCAGTTCAAGTTTCTATCTGACCAGAAATTCATGAAAATATCAGGCTATGTTTATGAAGTCTATCATCATCAGTTTATTTTATCTGCCTAAAACTTAAACGACATTTGAGTTTGGCTAATTGTTTTTTAGACGTCGCTTCCGTGAACGGAACTGTGCAATTCAAATCGGTCTCCGAGACCTCGAACATTTCCGAGCCGGCGGAGCAATCGGCGCCCCCAGAACCCTGATCGCCCCTGATCCCAAACATGCCTCGCTTCCAAACAGATGGTGGCTCACGAGTAGTGGACTTAATGGACATCATGGTCCCGGAAGAACACCTTCTCCGTGTCGACACCCTTGCAACCACCCCCTGAGTCCAACCATGACTCATCGCAGGGTGGGGGGAAAGGGAGAGACGATGGGAAAGCCGCAGTGCGCACCATCGCGTATGATATGCCATCAGGAATCGCAGATATTTAAGGGTAGGTGAAAAAAATTGCTAAGTCAAGCTGTCCCTTTGAGACTTTTTTCAAAAAATTGCTTTATTCAGGCTTTAAAAGATAAAAATTTACCTAATTGCTTCGTTTCAGAAAACTGCCAAAACTTCAATAAAAATTAAATCGAATCATTGATTTCAAAAAACTACTAAACTTCCTAAAAAACTTCAGACTATATGTTGAAAAACTTACTTTCTAAAATTTGCTGTCATTGTATAAGTTACGCAAAAACCCCCCGTGCCAAAATATTCCATATAATTAACTATGGAACACGATTAAGAATCTTTTGATGTGGTATATTTTACCGAAAAAAGTTCCTAATTTGATTCGATAAAACTTTTAGCCGAGTTGCTCAACAAAGCAGTACCTGCGTCTCAAATCAGTTCCAATATGTCTTCATCCAGACAACAACTCGCAGTCATACAAGAGTTCCGCTACATTCAAAAACATTCTGGCAAATCAGTTTTGTCCAGGACCCCGGCCGAACCCGACATGAACCCAACTATAGTCGCGTGTCGGGAGAAACTAATTGGTCGTGGCAATAAACGAGGGACTCTTGAATCTTTTCTTCCAAAGAGTTCGTCGGCGGCTGATAAGAACAAAAATTTGGGTTTGAAACAGAATGCGAACCCTTATGCAGACAAGGATGGAACATCTCGAAGCCCATACAAGTTTGTTATTTAGAAAACCATTAATTTTGACAAGCAAAAAACATAACTAATTACTACGATTACAATTGTTTTTGGACTGTTTGGTATATGAAAGTGACTGGAAGAAACTATGGCGCGTACGGTGTGGTTTTTCGGACAGATTACTTCGAAGAAAGCTTGTAGGGGTAAAGAGTGTCATCATATTAAGGGCCTCACAATTTTTTAAAACCCTTTCTATTTCGAAAAAAAAAATGGTCTGAATATTTCTGTTTTTTTTTCCGACTAAATAACAGAACATTTCTAGATGGCACAATGCGAATCTGAACTCTAATTTCATTACATTTCAATTTCTTCATACAAAACTGCCGAAAAATCATTTGGCGAAAAAAGGAGAAAAATTGTTAAAAAAAAGTATTTGAGTTTGTTATTTTTTACTCGAATAACCCTTTCAGCAATATTTTTTTTGTGATTAAATTTCTCTTTGATAACGGTTTTTGAAAGTTTTTGCGCTATTTTCACAGCAACTGACTATCTTTTTTAAGCTCCATACGGTTCAAATTGATTAGTTTTCCTCACAATTTTCATCAAATTTAAGCCTTAGTTTATGAAAATGTTTTTTGTCGATCAATTTCTTAGAAAACATCATTTTATTTAGTTGATTATTCACCGTTTTAACTGATAATTAGAAATCACTTATGACAGGTCACTCAGAGGAGGATCTCCCCATCGCCCTCTCGAAGACTTCAGTCCCAATAGAAACCTCACCCCTTCTTCCCCAGATGGGGGGTTAAATTGGGGCTATGTTGATGGGTTCCACCGCAAGAGGGCATACATAGCCAGCAGTGCCCCTTTTTGTGAAACGGAGGTGGTGAAGTTTTGGGGCGTGGTCTGGGATGAACAAGTACGAGTTATCGTGATGTTGACGAAACTACAAGAGAACAACAATGTAAGTCGATAACATTTTTGTAATTCAGTTTATATTTTCTTACAGCTTTTTGTCAATAACAATAAACTGGCAAATATATGTATATCTGTAATCGAACATTATGCCAAATCGTTTAAAAAAATCAAAATTCTGTTGGGTGATTAGTGGGCTCTAGAGTTTCTCGGGTCCATAAGTATTTTTGCCCGTTTTTTTTTGGGACTTATAAAACAATTTCGAGTTTTTTATCCCCAAAACACTGGCCCTATTTAGCTATTTTGTAAAGAAAACTCAACAGCACAGTTTTTGGGCACCTTTTTAAAAATGATTTACTAAAAGAAACGTTGGGTTCACTTGTTAGATCCCTTTGTTTCAATTAGTAAATAAAAAAATATAAGTCTCAGTTAAATTTTATCATAGATCATAGCCGAGCTGGTCCAACAGTTAAAGTGATAGTTATACAAACAGATAAATTAAAAGGGTTGATTATTTGAGTATAAATGAGTGATAAATGGATGAACAACTGTCTTAAATACCAAAATAGGTTTGGCGTATTAAGGTTAAGTTACATTTAATTAAGTTATTGGGAAAAATTAGAGTCTTACCTTTGTCAATTCTGGATTAATATATTTTTCAAAAATACTTTTTTTAAAAAAGAAAATTAAGGATAATTAAAAAAGGTAAAAAAATTCTACTCGACTGAGCAAGTGAGGAAAAAAATAATTCTGAAGATTCAGGTCGATTTATTTCTCAGTCTTTTGGCTGAGACAAATCTGCACCTGCAGTCTAGACTTCAAACCTTTTTTTTCCTTTTTTCTTCATACTTTTGATAAAACTGATTTTGCAACTTATTGATTTTTAGTATAAAAAATCAGCATTTAGTTTAACTCGGGGAACCCACAATATTTCAACTTGCTTTAGTTACTTTAAAACTCAGAGCAGCGGGGGGTTCATCAGTTTTCACAGTAAAAACAATATAGACACTCCGCCTGACTGGCGTCGTGATAAATACTCAGTTCCCTCGATCATGCGTTAAACTTTCATAAAAATTTTTGCCTTTTTTCAAGTTTAACAAAATTGAAAAAAAAATCAGATCAGAATTCGAAAAGTTAGAAATTTGGATTTGACTTTTAAAGTTTTAAATTAAGTTGTTCAGTTGAAGTGTGAATCAAACGATAATTTAAAAAGGCAATCTTATCTGGAGGTGTGAACAACTTTAGAATAGAAAAGACTTCACTCGGATCTTATGTAAACAACTAAAGCAATAGCCTTTTATGTCTGTGTAGCATTTCCAATAATACAACTCACCCCTTTTTCGATAGAAAGTTGTTCGATACACACATTTACATTGTTATGAAATTAAGTTTTTTAAAGATCATTTCAGTTTGGGTTAGAAATTTAATGATGAAATGATACTTAAAATTGAAAGGATGTCTTTGGTTTTTTTCTGTGGATCTATGAACATTCTTTCACTTTCGTTTCCTTCTCCCACGATGTCTTCACTCTTTTTTGTAGAATTTCACTTGACTCCTAGAACGTCTTTTGAACTTTGTCGTCATCCTTCCTGTCCTGATGTTTGTGGTACTTGTCATCATCGAACTTGGATTGCAACCATGTTGCTGGGGTTTTTCTTCTGACAATCAGAAAAACGATGAAATTTTTTTGTCCCTCTTTCTGCTGATTCCGTCTTTCTCTAGTTTAATCAAGAGCTTCCAGTGTTTTTCGGTTTGCACTCCATTGTTCTTGTTTATTAAAAGAGTTGCTTTACTGTGTCTGACGGATTCAGATAAAAGAGGATTCATGTGTCGTACACGAATTAAGTATTGGTATTTTTTATGAAGTAAGTATTTCATGAAGTGGTTTCTTTTGAGTCCTATTTGTTAAGTATTTTTGCCTGTTATGGGTACTCTTGTGTCATGCACAAACCCACCTGAGTAAAAAAATTATAGAGAAAATTATTTTATTCAATCAGCCGTCGGCTACAGAAATTGTTTTTTGTGCAATTGGTTAGTGTCATTGTTAGACACGTCTTCAAGACTTACAGTTCAGTTCATCGATATGATTGATCAATTCGGATTTGAAAAAGCAATATCAAAATAAAAAAGAAAATAAGTAAACTATCATAAACAACTGTCACATTCGAACATGTATTATATTTTTTATTAGGAACTCAAATTGATATCTTTTGAGTAATGCTGATTCACCAAAGCACTGATAATTTGAGAGTATTGAGAGCTTGTGTATTCAATAGCGATTGCTCCGTCATTGAAACCGGCAATTTTTTGGTAATAAAGGATCAATTTTGATTGATCTGAGAAAATTTAAGTCGTGTTCACACTAGCAAGTACATGGTCGACTTCAATTAGTATGTTGTAATCAAGCAAAAAAAGTTACTTTCATTGCTAGGCAGAACAAGGTCTTAAACAAAAGACATTTCATATTTCGAGTACTTTTCGATATATCTCAACTTCATCTGCTAAAAAAATTGACTTATGAGTGGCAATTATGGCAAACCTTATGTTAATATTTTACTTAAAAAATGAATCGTTGCACCTAATGGCAAATACTGATTTCCCAAGTTTCACATCGACATTTAGTCCGAGGTTAAGTTACATTAAAAAAATTTTTTTTAAAGGTTTTCTAAAACTGGTTTTACTAGGTCTCAGTGATCTTTACTTATAACAAATTAATCAAACTGGCAAGAGTTTGAGCGAACTGAAAGTCAAAGTTTCCAAAATGAACAATTATATCCCATAAACCTTTAAATGCTGAAAGATGACATGCATGCGCGTTTTTTTTTCTTTTGGCGGTAAAATTATGAAAATGGCCACATTGTTGAGGAGCGAGTATCGTTCGAGAGCAGGTATCGTTCGAGTCTTGAAGGCTATTTATAGCCACCAACTTTAATTTTTGTTGGCATAATTTAAATGGTACCATAATTCGAGGCTACATATAGCACCAACCATATTGGCATAAATCTACGGCGGGTTGGGTCAAAATTTTTAATTACCCATTTTCGTAAATTAACCATTGTTTGATTGAAGCAAATTAAAAAACTTTGCGAAGTGAGATTTCCTTTTAAATGTTTTTCTGCTAGTGTGCTTTTTGTAACTTTGTGCCAAAGCGAAACTCAAAATCAGCCTAACAGTTCCTCTATGTGCACTAAGAAAATTCCGAGGGCAAGAAATCTGTTCGCTTAAATGGCCTGCTACAATTTTACTTTGGCTATTTGATACATCAAAGTTTTCAACCCAAGATTACTGTCTGCTTCAAATGCAATTCGAAAAACTATTTGCATGAAATTTTGCCTGAGTTTGATTTGAAAATGGCTCAAAAAGTTTTCAGTTTAAGCTTCACTGTGCTTTACTGGTTGGACCAGTTTTACTGAAAGAAACGTTTGGTTCGCTTGTTCGTTCCCATTGTTTCAATTAGTAAATAAAATTATAAGTCTCAGTTAAATTTTATCATAGATCAGAGTCGATCTGGTCATAGAGTTAAAATTATAGTAAAACAACTGTCTTAAAAACCAAAATAGCTTTGGGTTTTTAAGGTTAAGTTACATTAATTTAATTTAATGGAAAAATATAGAATCTTATCTCTGTCAGTTCTGGATTGTTACATTTTTCGATAGTACATTTTATTAAAAAGAAAAATTTGTGATAAATGTAAAAGGTAAAAACTTCTACTCGACTGAGCGAGTGAGGAAAAGAACAATTCTGAATATTCAGGTTTATTTATTTCTCAGCGATTTGACTGAGACAAATCTGCACCTGCAGTCTGGACTTTAAACGTTCTTTTCACCTTTTTTTCATACTTTTCTTGAAATTGACATTTGCAACATAATGATTTTTTAGTATAAAAAATCAATATTTAGTTTAACTCGGGGAACTCACAATAGTTCCACATGCTTTAGTTACTTTAAAACTCAGGGCAGCGGGGGATTCTTCTATTTGCACGGTAAAAACAAAATAGACACTCCGCCTGACTGGCGCCGTGGATAAATACTTAGTTCCTTCGATCATGCGTTAAACTTTCTTAAAACTTTTTGCTTTTTTTTCAAAGTTATTAAAACTGAATGAATAAAAAAAATCCTTTCGGAATTCGAAAAGTTAGATAATTGGTGTTGACTTTTAAAGTTATAAGTTCAGTTGTTCAGTTGAAATCTGAATCAAATGTTAAGTTAAAAAGGCATTCTTATCTTGAGGTGTGAACCAATTTAGAATAGAAAAGACTCCACTCGGATCTTATGTAAACAATTAGAACAACATTCTTTTATCTTTGTGTAGCATTTCCAATACTACAATGCGTATTCGTCGGGCACTCCTCAAAATTAGTGTATTGGCTCCACAAGCGCCTCACTAAAAGTTTAGAATTGCTCTGCAGTTTAGAATGGATGACAAAAAGTAACTCCCAAGGCGGAGGCCTAGGTGGCGAGTGGATCCAACCTTCGAGGGAAGATAATTGCTTAAAATAGAGCAGTAAAAACCCGGATTAAAAAGGGATCTTCTTATTTTCATGAAGACTTTGAAATTCGTATTCAGGAGTTTCAAGAGTTCATGGTAATCATAGGACGCTGCTAGCAAGCAGATATTGTAAGAAGAAAAAGTATTTTGCAAGTAACAAAGGCATAATCAGTTTTTCAAAAGCGAAAAGTAATGTGTTTTTGAAAAGCCACTTTTTTCCAACCAAAGCCGCAATTTTTGGCGTTACTTTTGGTGGTATCTTTAGTTTCACAAAAAAAGTCGAAATATTGATGAGGGACCGGTTACTTCCATTTATGCCGCATTTTCCTCTGATGTCTGTTTTTTGCCTTACCCGACGGCTTTTAGATGATATTAAAACATTTGTCATATACATTTGCACTAGAGATGTATAAAGGACTTTCTCGAGAGGGGGTAAACTGTTCAATCTTTTTTATACCCTAAAACACTATAATTATGACCCTGTTTGGCCATTTTTGAAAAGAGGTCAAAATTGCCAATTTTGGGCCCTAATTGGAAAGTTTTGACAATGTTACAATGCAA